GAGAGTTCATCAGCGGAGAAGTTGGCGGAGTTATACGTGAGAGAGGTAGTATCTCGGCATGGAGTGCCGATCTCGATTGTTTCAGACCGTGATGTACGTTTCACTTCCAGGTTCTGGAAGAAATTTCATGAGGAGCTGGGTACTAAACTGCATTTTAGTACCGCATACCATCCCCAGACCGACGGGCAGAGCGAGCGGACGATTCAGACATTGGAGGACATGCTTCGAGCGTGTGTGTTAGACTTGGGGGTAGCTGGGATGCGTATTTACCCTTGGCAGAGTTTTCCTACAACAACAGCCATCATTCGAGCATTGGTATGCCACCTTTTGAGTTGTTGTATGGTAGGAGGTGTCGGACCCCCATTTGCTGGGGAGAGGTGGGTCAGAGAGTGATGGGCAGTACAGAGATCGTACTCCAGACGACAGAGCAGATTCAGCAGGTTAGGCAGAGATTATTGACCGCCCAAAGCCGACAGAAGAGTTATGCGGACAGACGCCGGTCCGAGCTGGAATTCCAGGTTGGCGACTTCGTTCTCCTGAAGGTTTCTCCTTGGAAGGGAGTGATCCGGTTCAGAAAGAGGGGCAAGTTGGGGCCCCGGTTCATAGGTCCATTTCGGTAATTGCAAGGGTAGGTCGGGTAGCTTATCGGTTGGAGTTGCCAGCAGAGTTGGGACAGATTCACAATACCTTTCACGTATCACAGTTGAGGAAGTGTATAGCCGATGAATCGGCGGTGGTTCCGTTAGAGGATATTCAGGTGGATGCGAGCCTGAATTACGCCGAGAGACCAGTAGCTATTAGGGATCGGAAGATCAAGGTTCTGCGGAACAAGGAAGTACCTCTGGTGTTGGTGCAGTGGCAACATCGGAAGGATCGGAGATGACTTGGGAGCCGGAGCGTGAATGCGGAGCAACATCCGGAGTTATTCGCAGAGTGAGACTTCGAGGGCGAAGTCTAGTTCTAGTGGGGAGAGTTGTAACAGCCCGGAATTTCAGGTATTGCTTTAAATCTATTTGGGGCATTTTTGGATGGGACTCGGCGAGTTGGAGCCAGACTCGCCGAGTAGGATCACAGACTTGGTCGCGGGTTCGCGACTGGACTCGACGAGTCCAGAATGGACTCGGCGAGTCGACGCTGTTCAGCAGAAACCCTAGCCGTTTGGTTCTGGATCGTATATAACGTCTTTTAGGCCGTCATTGCTCGTCTTTTGGCCGATTGAGGATAACCTAAACGTCTGTGGGCATCTGGAGCAGGAGTGAAGGCTATTGGAACCTTGAAGGATTTGTTAGACAAGAAGAGGAAGGGTTTAGCTAAAGGAACAGCAAGAGAATCACGTTCTGAGGATTGGAGACACAGAAAGTGCATCAATCAGGTAATATCTCGGATTTCGTTCTTTTGTGATTGATGTGTAAATGGAGTTAGGGTTTATAGAACCCATTTGATGATTAGATGGATTATTATGTTGTTACCCAAGTGTTTATACCCCAGTAATAGGATGTTTAGAGGTCCAGATAGTCCCATGAGTGTGTATTTCGGGATCATACGTGTTTCAGGAAGCAGTTGATCGACTGCATGGCATGGACTCGCCGAGTCGAAATGAGCAGACTCGGCGAGTAGTTTGAAGATTCACTGGGACTCGCTGAGTTGTTCTTCAGACTCGGCGAGTGGAGTCTATGGGCCGGAAGGCAATGTATAATGTGACAGGAAGGTCAGGTATGATATATGATATATGTGTTAGAGTAAATGTACTATGTGTTATATATGTTTATGGGCCGGAAGGCAATTATCTTATGGGCCGGAAGGCAATTATCTTATGGGCCGGAAGGCAATTATCATATGGGCCGGAAGGCATTGTACTGTGAACCGGAAGGTCCGGGCCTGGAAAGGCGTATATGTGTAAGTGGTATATTGGGGAACTCACTAAGCATTTATGCTTACAAGTTGTTATGTATGTGTTTCAGGTACTAGCGAGGACCGTGGGAAGGCGCCGACATGATGCATACACACTGCTGCTATTTGAGATCTTGGGGATTTTACATATGTATTTGTTTTGAAACATGAAATAAATATTAATGGTTGAATGAACTTACTTTATTTAAAATGAAAAATTTATTTGAAAATTTGCGTTGTTACATCGCTTCTCCTTGACCCATGATCAACACTTTCCCTGATCCTCCATTCCATTGATTGTTGACATTGGGGCAGTTTCGACAGAAATGCCCAGTTCTTCCACACCCATAGCAGGTGTGGCTAGCTCCAGCATTGTTGTTGGTGTTACTGTTGTTGTTGTTGCTGTTGTTTTTGTTGTCGTTGTTATGGTTGTTGTTGTTGTTGTTTCCATGTTGTTGGTTCTGGGGAGGATAGGTCATGTAGTATCTCGTCGTGTGACCTTTTATGTTGCAACTGGTGCAATGCATCTCCTTTCATTCACCGTGGTGGTGGAGGTTGCATTTGTGGCATTTAGGGAGGTTTCTAGAATACTGTCTTGGGGTGTTCGGGGTAGGTGAGGTTGGAGCATGTGGTGTGGGGGGTGGGGGGGTCTGGGTGGTTACCGCATTAAATGAAATAGTCTTTTGTTTCTTGGACGACTCTGTACCTTGTCGCTCTTTTCGTTTATTCCCTTTTCCTTTCTTGCCTTCGACTTCTTTCTTACCTTCACTTTCCTTAGCCTTTGAGTTCTTCTTGTTGTCATGATCATATAATTTCTTGGCCAATCTCTTGGCACTATCAAAAGTCTCTGGGTTTTCTGCAATCACATTCCCCTGAATAGGGGAGGTTAACCCCCAAATGAACCTTTCGATTTTCATTCTTCTGAATTGATCATCCTTGGACACATTAGTGACAATTCGACGAACCTTGTGATGTAAGAATCAATGTTCGAGTTTTGAACTGTAAGATTCCACAGTTCTTGCTCCATTTTCTGAATTTCTATCCTCGGGCAATACTCTACCCTTAACATTTACTTTAGTTCCTCCCATGGCATAGCGTTTGCCACTGGAGTGTCATTGCCTCCACGTGCCCATTCAACCACGAAAGGGCTTGATCTGCAAAAGTACACGCTGTATACTTCACTTTGTTTTCTTCTGGGCACCCACAAATTTCAAACACGGATTCCACCTTTTCTATCCACTATTTTAGGGCTATCACGCCTCCCGTTCCATTAAAGGTTCGGGGTTTGGCATTGATGAAATCCTTGTAGGTGCAAGTCCTTGTTTGACCCTAGTTATTTCCTTGGTTTGAGCTACCGGCTCCGTCTCCATTCCCTCCTCCATTGCTTCCATTACGGATGTGGGCCAACGCTGCAATGACTACCGCAGAGACAGCTACTTGAAAGGCAGCTGAGTTCATCTTTTGTGTCTCCGGGGATGGTGGTGGTGGATTGTTGTTGACTGGTGGGCATCCTCGAGGCATCTTCTATCATGAAATAAGACGACAATAAGTGTACAACGTATCTCAGGTTTTAAATATTGTTATCTCGATGATTCACTTTGTGCATGTGATAAGGTTCAAAGTTTTAATCATGAGACAAAGGAATAAGTCTCATAGTAGATCACAACATCACAACAAAACACACACAGTAATAGTACTAATAATATCTTATATTGTTCATGGAAAATTGTTCGATATAGCATAGAATCTAATAGCATGACAACTCTATTAGTAGTGTAGTCACTTAATCATAGAGTCGAAAGTACATCACATAATACACCTACACAAGAAATCCTAATATTACTACACTAGTAATTGCTTAATGTCGGTGGTGCGATTATATCCCAAAATGTTGTGCCAACAGTTGTGCCATCTCGGTCATCTCCCTTATGACCTCGTCCCTCTCCTATTCGGCCAATACAACTCGTGCCTCCATAGCAAATAACTGTTTCCGGAGAGCGGTAATTTCTTCCTCCAGAGTGGGGGCTCTTCCAGCGAAGTTTCCTGTTGGTGCAGGAGAATCCTGATGTTCCTCGACGATAGGTGGGTCGGAGGGGTCTTCTTCTTCTTTGTTGCAATCATCCCCTGTGTCTTCATTGGTTTTATCAAATTCGTAGTCTGTATCGGTATATTCATCAAGCTCTAGGCCAGGGGCTACCCCTTGCCTTTCCTCGGGGTTTTCTTCCAGCATTCTATGAGCCACTAAGCCATGATGGAATTGGATTCCTTATTGATTCTCATCTATGATAACTATACGTGTAACGGGGGTGAGGATTGTGTAAAGAAAATAGGTTTATAAATTTTTATATTCAGTTTATTATCCTTATTTGTGGGTATTAAAAGGGTATGCCTTAGGTTTACTGACCATCACGATCTCTCCAGGACATGTGATAGTTGTATTATGAAGGAATGTAGTTGATCAGGCTACATTCGTCCCTAATACAACTATGAACAGTCCCGATTTAATCGATATGTCATGATCTTTCCCAAGGTTTTACTTGAATTATTAGACAAAATTACACAGATGGTCCCTATGGCTGGCACGAGAGACCAAAGATAGTCCTTATGAGGAATTTTGAACGAGTATGGTCCCTGTGGTTCCCAATTGTTGCATGAACAGTCCTTATGACTAACTCCGTTAAATTGTTGTCGTTTATCAAAATCACGTGACCCTCACACGAGGGTATTTTGGACTTTTTCTTTATTACACAAAATGATCATATTCATAAATGATCCTTACATCTAGCTGCCATTTGCATTACCCCAAGAAATCATCCCTTTCTTTTCTCCTTTGGTTTTTCATCTTCATCACCTCAAAACTCAAATGGAAACTAGGATTTTCATCTTCATCTTTTGCGATGGTTCTAACTTTGTGGAATGTCTGTTCAAAATTCTCATAAAATCCTGACCTGATCAAAGCTTATGGTGAGTGATCAGTTAACAACTTTCAATTTTGTTAAGTAATTTATGCACATTCAATTTTGAGACTTCATTCTTTCCTCATATCATTATTTATTTGTTTTTCAGTTGGGTTAAGTAGTTTATGCACATTCAAGATTCACCATGGGGGTATGTTCACAAAATACCTAGGAAGACGTTACATTGGTGGGAGTATTGACTATGTTGACTACGTAGACATGGACGTGTTTTCCGTACATGAGTTAGACGATATGTTGAAGGAGATAGGTTATATCAACAGTGAGCTTATCTACTACCACTTCTTGATTCCAGAGATTGAAATCGATTATGGGTTACTTCCTCTAGGTAACGACTCAGACATACTTTTGTTAAGTAATCATGTCGCTAATCACAAAGAGATTATGGTGTATACTGAACATGGAACTACTAGACTCCATATATACTTTATGTCTCTAAATAAGGTCGTATTGGAAGAAATCAATGAGCCTATTTCTCCTGAACTCAATCAAAAAAAATTTACAAGTACAGAGGTAGGATCATGTAGTAGAAAATTGGACTAGAATGAGAACTATGATTTTTCTAGGTCTGTTGTAACTTTTGGACATTTTGATAGAGATGTAGTGAAATATGTTGGAGTTAAGCCTGCAAGTGAGGAGCTTAACAAAGTCCAAGATGTTGGCCCTTCAGAAGACTTTGATCCTTTCTTTTATATGGATCATAATGATTACCAACTGATGGGGGACAATGATTACCAAAATATGGGGGATAATGAAGAAATCGGAGATGTTATTAGTGACGAGACTAGTACCGATGGAAGTATAAGTGAAGATAGTGAGTTTTTAGTGGATGAACTTAATATGGTGGAGGATTTCAAAGTGAATATGAAAGACTTCCATAGTGGTGTTTATTCTTTTCCAAATCTAGATAACCACCCATCATTCAATGCACCTGATGTCACAGTTGATAAGGATTTGGAGGTGATAGATACACAGTTGTTTGAATCAGCTGGTGTAGAAGAAGATGAGAGGAAGAAGTTAATGAGAAGGTTAAACAATCCAACCACGTGTTCATCAGGAGTAGTACATGAAACTGCATTCCATCTAGGTGAAATATTTAAGTCCTCATCAGAAGTGACGGACTACATTAAAATGCATTCAATTCGAACTAGGAGAAACATTTACTCTGTAAAAAATGATAAAAAAAGAATTAGGGCAAAATGCAGGGGTGTGGTCCCGGAAGTGACAGGTGGGCCATGGACAAAAAGTAGAATCAAATGCAAGGACAAAATTGTCAGTTCACAAAAAAGTAACATGCCCTTGGGTGGTATTAATTTCTAGATCTGATGAAGAAAGAGATTGGATGGTGAAAACTTTGGTTCATGAACATAGATGTGTGCAATCAATATCTATTAAAGCGTGTACTTATAAGTTTCTTGCAACAACCATTCTTCAACAAGTGGAAGGAAACCCAACTATCCCAGTCAAAGCTTTGCGTGTAGAGTTACAAAAGACATACGATGTGGGGATGTCAAGAATGAAGGTCTTTAGGGCTAAACAACTTGGACAGAAACATGTTTATGGAGATTATCAAAAGCAATATAGCCTTCTCAGGGATTACGTACTAGAATTACAACAGTGAGACCCAGGAACAACTGTGAAGATTGATGTATACAGTGAACCAAATGCAGACTTGGAAAATAGGATGTATAAGAGAATTTATGTCTGTTTAGGTGCATTAAAACTGGGTTTTAAGGCAGGTTTAAGAGATTTTTTAGGATTCAATGGGGCTTTCATGAAGGGATCTTACCCTTGACAGGTTCTCACTGCTGTGGGTCTTGATTCCAATAATGGGATCTACCCACTAGCATATGCCATTGTTGATGCCGAGAACAAAAGCTCATGGAGTTGGTTTCTTGAGTGTCTAGGTGGAGATTTGGTGCTCTCTACAAATTCAAACTTCACATTCATTTTTGATAGGCAAAAGGTTAATCTTCTTATGATACGTGTTCATGACATCTATGTAATTTAGTCTACTACATTTAGAAAATAACATTTTTGTTACTTGTTAATTAGGGGATTTTACCTGCCATTGCCAACCTATTCCCTACTGTTGAACGCAGGTTCTGTTTACAACATATTCACGAAAACATGAAGCTACAATAGAGGGGGAAGGAGCACAGAGATCATTTATGGGAATGTGCAACAACAACAACAATAGTTAGACGCTTTGACAGATTCATGGAAGATTTTAACAAGTATAATTCAAAGGCATGTGATTGGTTAAAGAAAATTCCATCCAAACATTGGGCCAGAGCACATATTTCAGGTATATTTACCCTTATATAACAGTTAGACACTTTGACAGATTCAAGGAAGATTTACACTTTGACAGATTCTTATAAGATATTTTGTTGCATTGTACATGAAGAGCACATACAAATATTTTGTTGAATAATTTATGTGAAGTTTTCAACTCAAAGTTGTTAGATGCTTGAGACAAACCTATAATTACATGTTTAAAGTATATTAGGGAATACTTAATGAAAATAATTTGTATTGTGAAAAATGTGATAGATAAGTCTCAAGGGTCACTTACCTCAACAACCACAAAACTTTTAGATGGAGTTAAGAAAGATGCTTCTCAATACACTTGCATATTTAATGGTGCCGAGAAGACTCAAGTTACTGGGACAATGGGGGAACAATTTGCGGTTAATTGGAGGGACATGAATTGTAGTTGCAGGCATTGGGAAATCACTGGGATACCATGCTCTCATCTTGTTAGTTCCATTTGGGATAAGGTTGATCATGGGGCAAAAAATGTCCCACCCCTTGAGGAGTGAGTACATCCATGTTATAAGTTAAGCACATGGAATGAAATGTACAAGTACAAAGTTCAACCTATCAATGGAAGAAGTATGTGGCCAAAGTCAGATTGCCACACAGCACTAACACCCCCAAGCATATTAAACAGGTAAATAATTTTCAATTTACAAGTTAGTATACGTTTATACTATTTTATAATTTATCAATTATGCAGGTGGGGAGACCAAAAAAGAAGAGAAAGAGAGCTCAAACTGAAGAACCAAATAATAAAGGTAAAAGTTTGACCAGGAAGTTCCTTACAGTTACTTGTAGCAAATGCAAGAACAAAGGTCACAACTCTAGGAGTTGCAAGGGACAAGGGGGACAAAATGAAGTTAGAAATTTTTTTGCAGGGGGCAAGAAGCTTAGCAAGGAAAAGAAGCAGGGAGATGGCAAGAAAGAGAACCCCAAAATGAAGGTGAAACCAAACTTAAGGAGAAAACCCAAATGAAGGAAAATGATTGATTTGTTTCCATTATGGTTTTTAAAAATGGCTTTTGTGTTGTTTGTTTTGGTACCTTAGAAAGCTAAGACTAAGTTGGTTCTTGTGTGTCTTTATCTTTTGTTGGTATTATGGTACATTAGTGTGTTAGAATAAGTTGGTTCTTTTGGTTATGATACATTAGTCTGCAAGCTCTTTTGATATTTTTGTTGGTATTATGACTTTGAACTTTAAGGTTATGTAATGAACTTTATGACTATGCAAAAGTTTGCATTCTATTTTTGAACATTTCTAATGTTGTTATGGCTCTACAATGGTTTACACATTATACTACAATGGTCTAAACCCTACAAAAACCTTTCACTTTCATATTTTATACTTTAATGGATCTACATAGTTCATAAAGTTGCAGACCAATATTTTACACTCACAAAGTTCCAGACCAATATTTTACAGTGGTTGCAGACTAAAAGTTTCATAAATAAAAAGCATTCCATTCATACATACGGACATTTCTTACATCACAAACAAACAAAACGAAATCATCTTCAAACTAATACTATTATCTGATTCTACCCACAAGCAAGAGAACCATCATCTACCCACAAACAAAAGAACCATCATCTCCAGGCTAATACTATTAGCATCTTTTGTACACATACATGAAAAAGAAAACCCAGCTAAAAACTAGCATCATCTTCAGTTTTTTTGCTTCAAAACTTGCTTGCAGCAGAGATTCTCGAAGCTTGTTCATGGATCTTAGCAAACCTGGAATGACAGCCACAACCCTACGACACATGGGCTCATCAAACCATGCAATGAAACCGCAACTGCTAGGACATTTCCAAAACCTACGCCCTGGATTGAGAGCCGTCCATGATGTCACTATCACCGCTTGCCTTCCATAAAAACAATTTACCATTGTTAAACAAAGTTTCTTAGAAAGACACAGAAGAGAGAAGAGAGAATAGAGAATAGAGGAGACGAAAAATAATGAAGGAAGTGATGTGGGTTTAATTTTTATAGGGAAGGGAAATCTTTTGCAGATCATATAAAGATATGAGAGAGAAGCGATAAGCAAAAGACCATAATACCCTCGTGTGAGGGTCACGTGATTTAGATAAATGGCAGCAATTAAATGAAGTCAGTCATAAGGACTGTTCGTGCAACAATTGGGAACCATAGGGACCATGCTCGTTCAAAATTCCTCATAAGGACTATCTTTGGTCTCTCGTGCCAACCATATGGACCGTCTGTGTAATGTTGTCGAATTATTATTATGTTAATTTTCTAAGTTGCACAAATAAGAGTGTTTGTTATTTTATTTTTATTCAAAGTTATTTAGTTCCCTTTTTGATGTTTATAGTTGCATATCAATGTATGGTTAGATATGCCAGTTCACTATAAACACTACTCTGATACCAACCTATCACACCCTCGAACCGGATGGCGGAAACATCCGAGGGCTTGTGTGACTAACAATTGAATACCATTACAATGAATATACGTGAAACAAACACACACATCACCAACATTACATAGTACAAATTACATAGCTCACATCAAGTACATTAAGAAAATATTACATAATTAAAATGTATATCGTTTGAAAGTCACAAAACATGAAATCCTAATACACTTGACAATTATCTTCTGCTTATCTGTTACCTGAGAATACAAGTTATTTGAAAAATGGGTCAACATATATAATGCTAATGAATTCATAAGCATGTTTGGTATAAAAATGATTTGTATCGTTGTATAACCCAGAAAATCCAATATTTTCTTAAATTTAATTTGTTCACAACGTGATGTGATGATCCAATATATGTAAATGATACGTGGTTTCAAAACATGTCTGATTGTATGACTTTCTCAAAAGTGCTCAATTTATTGTATTTGATGAGTTAAAATAAATGATATAAATTACCCATGATTGATAAAATGGTAATGGATCTCTTAGTGAGACGTTATAACCATGCATGATAATGACTATTTCACCTGTCTTGGCATTTTTACAAATGCCGGTTTTGATTAAGATTTTTTCACCCTAGACTGGACGAGTCTAACTGTAGCGAACAACTCAGGTGTGCGGGACTCACCCCCGTATAGATCTATACACAAACTCTCGCTCTCCCTCTAGGAGACTCTGATTATAACTACAGGCTACAACCGGGCACTTATTGGTGCCGATCGATATTTCTCACTAAATCCCAATTATTACCCCTTGGATATGAATAACATTGATTACTACCCGTTTGATATTTATATGATTATGAATGAAGCCTAACAAACATGAAAAAGGATAACTGTGGCCCACTAGTCATGTGTGTTATTTAGAGGCTGTCGAGTATGCTTATGGACACGTTGGCCCATCGAGCATATGATTGATTTGGACCATACTAGCAATGTGAATGGGCCACTAAGGCCCAATAGCATGTAAAAGCCATTGAGGGTCCATTAGGCATGTAATTGGGTCGTCGGAAGCCCAATAACCATGTTTTGCTTATATTGGGCCCAATAATCGTGTAACTGGGTCACGAAGGCCTAATAAGCACGAATGCGAATACTAGGCACAAGAATCGTCTTGTTTATCCGTTTGTAGATATTAATTGTAATATATGACTTGTTTTACACAGAGCACTTAGTTATTCTATGAAAGTATCCGACATTAGAGTTTTAACGATAACATTGTTTTACGGAAATATACCCATTTTAATTTCATTTATTGTAAAATTTTACTTCTTTGGCCCAAAATGGTTTAAATGTTAACATATTTAACTCCAAAATATTTATTTGACCATTTCAGCCCATTTTTCATATAAAGTTACATCTTCAGCCCCTTCTTAATAAAAATGACATTTTTAGTCCCTTTTTATGAAAATTGGCATTTTTAGTCCTTAACTCATTTTTTTCTTGGCATTTTCGGCCCAAAACATTATTTAAATTGTGATTTCAGCCCAAAAATATAATATTGAACATTTTCAGCCCTTAATTGTAAAAATTTTACAATTTTGGCCCAAATTCCGTACGTTTTACATTTTTGGCCCAATTCCCAAAAAACTTTGCATTTTTAGTCCAATTTATCAAGAAATGTCATTTTTATCCTTGATTTCTACTCACTTCCAGTTTTGGACTCGAGTTTTGCATTAATGAAAATTTAGCCCTTAATGTTTATAAATTTTTGCATTTTGGGCCCAAAACCGTGAGGCCCATTATTTAGGCCCAAATGCTAGAATTTATATTTTTGGCCACGTTGAAAAGTATTATTATCATAAAACCCAAATATAAGTTAGTTTTTACCATTTTCATTCTTATATAACCGAATATGTCATCATCTTCCCAAATACTTTGTTATTTTTACAAAAATGATACTTATACAATCTTTTGCTTTGTTTTTCCTTTCTTATATATAAAAACACTTAGATCCTTGAAGTATGTTGTTTAATATGTTTTTGTTTATTAGTCTTTCTCATTTATACTATAGATATCGAAATATATCAAGTATTATCACATTTTTCACAATAATAACCAAAGAAATCATGCATAACATGCATACATACCTAGATCAACACATAACACTTGTATTCTCCCCCTAAAAACAAGTAAAAACCGAAAACAAGGGGGTATGAACTCACCTTGGGTTTGTGGTTTCGGTTTTTGAAGAAAAGATGAAGATGATGGTGTGGTTTTCGGCCTTAGCAAGCTTCTTGAAGGGACCTTCAAACTTTGATGAGTTCTAGGGAGTATGATCAAGAGATTAAGGTTGTAAGAGGGGTAAATGAGTGTATAAAGAAAGTATGTTTATAAAATCTTACCACTAGTATATTACTTGAAGTGATTTTTGGATGAAATCCTTCTTGAAGCCCTTATGATTCCCGAAATTTTTGAGAGGAAGTGAGGGGTTGTTGTTGTGAGTTCTTGAAAGAAAATTCAATTGACTTGTGTGTGTGTTCCTCAGCCGGAATAAGAAGAAGAGGGAAGAAGAGAGAGAGAGAGTGGTGACTTGCATGGAAGTCCACCATGCAATAAAGAGGTAGCATGCTCACAAAATTTCCCTAATTCCATTCTTTTTTAATTCTTTTCCTAATCCTTTATTTTCTTCTTCTTTTTTTCTTTTTCATTGGGCCAAGAATGGGCCTAGAGAGATGAAGAAAATGGTGTTGAGCCCAAACTATTGGCTTGATCGAATTTCTATAAGCCCATTATTATTTTTTGGCCCATTGGGCTCATTGAGCGGTTCACAGCCCAATTAGCATAAAAGAATGGGTTTATGTTTCATTAAAGCTAATTAAATCAATTATGGCCCAATAAGGCCTATTAAGGTGAACCAACTCATTTTGGATCCATTATGGCCCAAAATGTTTAAGTTTCATGAAAGTGAGTACAGTTAGAGCCCATTTAAGGGTTATACGCCCAAAATAGTCAAATTGGAAACTTATTGATCCATTAGGCCCAATAAGGAAATCGTAGTCCACATTGTACGTAAATCGGAAATTTTAGGGTTTCCAATCCTTCGTTCACCAATTGAAGTGTTTGTATAGGGTTTTTGATGAAATTTGTTGTCATTGAATAAAAACCAAGCATGCTTTCAAAGTTTTGGTTACAATTGCTATCATTGTTATAGTTATTAGGATATAGAATTTCCTAGTTGTGACATCCGGTATTGTAACAACCGGTTATTTCGGGTCAAAAAAAGTCAAACAATTCAAACCAAAGTAAAGGCAAGTCAATTATGTCAAACAAAAGTTAAATAATTATATGGTTTAAATTAAATAAGGAAAATTAATATTACTTTTAAGGTTCTCGGTTTTTGGAATCAAAAACCACTTAGACCGAAATCTCATCCTTATGCCGAGAACCATGTTGAACCGAGAACCCTTCTTAGCCGAGAACCACTTGAGACCGAGAACTCCCATGATCGAAATCCCCTATAGACCGAAGACCTTAGGTTCTCGGTTGGACTTTTGTCCAAAATCATGGGTTCTCGGTTTGGAAATATAGCCAAGAACACCTACCTTATCTTTTGGCACACCTTCCAATTAGATAATTACACATCCCATTGTATGTGTCATGTCAAATTTCATCCTATGTATATGTTAAACCGAAAACAATCCTCATAATTTACATTCCAACTTCGAAATCCTTCTCATTTGCTCTCAAAAATCATAAGAACTTCCTTAAATCTTCATATCTTCAAGAACCATTCCCAGTACATAATCAAACTTACCTAGAAAATCTAGTCCGTCAATTGATTACTAGGAAACCTGGTAAGTATTTCTTACCTAATAAAGTGTTATTTAACACTTTAATCGTTAATTATCTAATTTGTGCATGTATTATGTGTTAAAAACTATTAGGATTACAACTATTTCCACGTATTCAAGCTTGATGAACATACCTAAACACTTCATTATCCAGCCAAGAACACACCCGATGCGAGTTCATACCCCTACAATTTTTCATGATTTTATATGTTTTAGGTGGGGAATACAAGTAAAACACAAGATAAATTGTGTTAATATACAAACCGTTACATTTATATTTTAACTCAATATAAATATACATATGGGTATAAACTTGATACGATAAAATGTTAACCCTTTTGTAACATGTTGAGAAAAATGGTATAATTATATACAAATAAATATATAATTATCCCCATTTATTTTTATTATCATAGTATTATCATAGTATAAATGATAATGTACATACAAGAGATTCATCATTTTAGTGAAACATTTTTATAAACTATAATAAGTATAGTTTATCAGACATACACACTAATTTACCGGTTCAAAATACAATCTCAAAAATAATTATTTAAAAGCATAATTATTTTATAACATGTAAATGGACGATGCCATACAATTACAAGAAAATGAGTTTTCATCATACTACATGTAAA